ATCATATTAGCGTAACTCGAGGTTCGAGACTTAACGCCATAACTCACATAAACGTGGACTGATACATGGCGTTAGATCTTAAAAATGCCCAGAAGGGTGTCAGCGAGGGAAAATGCTATCGCGAATGACATAATTGAAGAATCGAAGCGTACAAAAAGTGAGAGTGGCATTTGGCAAGGTTAAAACATTACTAGCCAAAATAAGTGACAAAAACATAGGCAAGAGGGAAAAAAAGAGGCTGTCAAGTTGAGGATGAAATGGGACCAAAAAGCATATTATGAAAGATGTAAGGCTAGTGGCGGTTTTGACGTAGCCAAAGATTTCCGAAAACGTTTACAGTGCCCTTTTACTTCCATGCTCCTACCTCTGCTACAACGAGGACTTTGACATCCATGAAACAAACGAATTCTTACCCCAATTTACAGCCTAACCGAAGAAAACAGTTTTCTATCATTATGCAAACCACCCGCCGCTTTCTGGATGCCAAGTGCTGGTTATTCCCAACAAATAAATTAAAAAATACTAATATTATATTATTTACAAAATTTATAACCTTTCTTTAAAGGCAAACTTTTATCAAGCAGTAATAAGGCACGATGTGGACTTCATGGCCGAGGTAGCTAGGAAGGCAATAAAATAAGGAACAAAATTTGCAGAAAGATGTATTACATCAAGTGAAAAAGTATTTGTGACGTACCTAATTGGTACAGGTGTTTAACACTTCGCGCCTTACCAACTTCCACCTCAATCCCATTAGAAGCACAAAGACAACTGAAGTACGCGTGCATGGAAAATTTACATAAAATAGAAGTGGAAGCTTATGATTCCACACCCTTTTTTTAACAAGTTTGCAAGAACTTGCAATTACAACTGATAAAAAGTTAAAAAGTGCACAGATAGACTGTAAGAATTCTCCGCAATGTAAACTTTTGAGTGGATGCGCTAAAAGAATGAAACAACGTCATCGTCATCGGAATCAAATTGAATACTTGGAACCTTTAAAGCTTTGATAAGGAAAACAAGACCAATGATCAGGAGGAGGAATAGGATAACACCAATGACAATTCCAGCGATTGCTCCGCCTGAAAGACCTACAATAAAAAAAAGGAATGAAATATTGAAACAAAATTAACGTAGCGTACCACTGGACGGAGACTCGGTAGGAGAAGAAGTGGGCGGACTAGTAGGACCAGGAGGACTGGAAGTTGTGGAGGCAGATTCTGTACTCGATGTTGTAGTGTCTGGTTCTGGAGTCGGAGGAGAAGAAGGCGGGCTTCCGGAAACAGAAGAACTGGTGTCACCCTCAGGAGTGGTAGGAGAACTGGGGACAACCGATGTGAATTGTGTTGATGTCTCGTTAACCGCTGGTGTGGTTTCAACCGTAGGAGTGGTAGGAGAACTGGGGACAACCGATGTGAATTGTGTTGATGTCTCGTTAACCGCTGGTGTGGTGTCACCCTCAGGAGTGGTAGGAGAACTGGGGACAACCGATGTGAATTGTGTTGATGTCTCGTTAACCGCTG